GGGCGCTTTGAAGGCAAAAGGCCACCCTATTCCAAAGCAAAGGCGCTTCAATGCAAAGGCAATAGCCCTTCGAAGGCAAAGGCTAATTTATAGATAAAGCAGCTAGTTCAAAGGCAAATGTGTGAATTGTATGAGTAACAACAAACATCCTCTTTTCTCAGAATCACTCGAGTGATATATGTCTTGGTACGGCTGGGTAGGATGTTGCACTACCACAGAGTATAGATCGGAGGATGTTGCAGCGGCTTGAAGTAGTTTGAAGTATGTGGAGGGCTGATTTCAAGGAAGAGATTATTCGAAGGTAAAGGCCCTTCGATGGGAAAGCAAATGGCACTTTGAAGGCAAAAGTCCTTCGAAGGCAAAGCAAAGGCCATTCCAGCAAAGGCTCTTCAAATGCATTGTAACGTAAACTTCATAGGTTTTCTAGAGGGACGTTTTCTCGAACCCCCGACCCCCTCATCTTTACTGTAGATGTATCGTACCAAAATTGGACGCTGGATGTCAGATGGTCGTGATCAAAGAGTGCGAGCTAGGTTCGTCAGGAGTAAGTAGTAGCTGTTTAAGTGAAGATAAATCTTGTGTATGTTTTAAAATTGGAGTGTCGTATTGTGGTTCAAATCCGACAGAGTCATTCTGCGATTGGAAATGTGTTGAGTATTAATTATCGAATCCAGAGAAAAAGTTAATAATTCACTAGTTTTTAACTGGGAGATGTGTGCGGGAACGTTATTTGCGCCCAATATCTGACGTATGCCGCCTTTAACGCCTTTCAAAACAAAAAAAGAATTCGTGCACAGAAAAATTATAAATTAATTAAATTAATTAATTAAAAAAATTATAAAAAAAATATCTAATGGTGCGTCCCTTACGGCCTGTGCATATGAGCCCAGCTAACGCGGGAAAACTCACCTGAGTGTCATGATACCCGCTTGCCCTTTGTTAACACATATGTATAGATATTATTGTGTGGTTCATATCAGAGATGAGCCAGCCCAGGTACAGGTGAGATCTCACCTTAAGCTAGGTGAGATGTCAGTGAAGTCAGTAAGTCACCTCTGACCAGGATGGGCATTTTTTGCCAATTTTGACCAATAAGATCTATTTACACAGGAAAAAATTTAAATTTCCATTGATGTGTTTTTGAATGGTTTTTAAAAACAAGTTTACCATGTAAACTGTCAATGTAAAAACTGAGCCCTACCACTATTGGTTACCATACATTTCCCGTATGGTAAATTGGTAAGAACCTTGTTTAATATTACCATTAATGGTATTTTCCTGTGCACAGGAAAAAAAGTACCATGCATTAATGGCAAATATTAAACCTCAAATACTTTGCTAAATCTTTTCGGATATCATTCCTTTGCATTCAGGGTGGGAGGGTGAATGGCGATAGCTATAATTTTTTATAGGAGATTCTGTGCAATATTTTGGCTCAACAAACAGGTAGTCGTGAAGACAAAAAAGTGCACTGTCGAGTGTCGATTCCAAACAATTTTGTCAGTCGCTTTTGATACCTCTATTTTACAAAATTTATACCGTTTCCTTTCTGTATGAAAACAATTCAATGGCATATTATAAGAATATTGTAAATATCTGAACCAGAGGCAGAGCCAGGACAGAAACGTACGTATGAAATGAAAATATTGCGCCCGAACCTCGAGAGAATATTAAAAACGCAAATATTTCAAACCATACGGTCATACGTTTTCGTTGCTTGATTTGCAGACTTGTCTGTTAGTACAAGAATCTGCATTTTACCATGTTTGTATAATTTAAAACGGCAAACAGAAACCAATTTAGCAAGAATTTTGAAGAATATATGATTCTCAAAGATTATTGTACAGCACGGCCACTCCTTACAATCGAAGTGTGAAGTGCGGAAGTGGAAACATGTAATATGAGACCTTTCCATCCCCCTCTGAGGCTATCAATTTTCTATGGGTCACGTGACCAGCGTCCACCAGGGTCTTTGCTTCCCAAGAGCAACTACCCTGGGAACGAGGTTGATTATCAATTTCCCGTTTGTAAGGGACCGTTCATTATTTATACCCGGGGTTGGTACCGAAGAGATATGGGTTGGGTAATCAAGTTTTTGACTAGCTCATGGGTTGGGTAAAAACGGTTATGGCTGTCTGTCCATAAAGTCCATAAAATAAAACCAAAATTACCATGCATTGGAAAATATGAAGAAAAATGTGTACAATAGTCAACACATTCTGTACCAAAATAGACCATCAGTGATTGAGGGATTGCTTTGGCACACTCAGTAAGTTTGAGTGCGAGTCACGAGCTTTGAGAATTTAGGCAACTTGATTTCTGTCGCCATAATCTTGTGGTGTTTAGTTATTATGAAGTACAGTAACACATGCGTTGGTAAACATTATTTTGACCAATGTTGAGGTTGAGTAAATAAAAAATTTACACTGTTTTTTGTTTCTCTTCGGTACCAACCCCAGGCATAAATAATGAACGGTCCCTAATGCAAAATGACTGAAAAACGGCAAACTTCGCAAGGCTATATTATCCGCATTTTACAACATTTCGCAACGAAACTTCGGAATATTACTATAAATTTTGTGATGCTCTTTCAAGCTGTGATGAAATTTTTGTCCAGGCATATCTAGATCAAAATTTCACTCATAAGGGGAAAGGTCTATTGGCGATGATTCATCTTGGCCCAATAAAGTAAAATATTAAGTCTCGACTTCAATATTTTGCCATATTGGGCTCAGAAGAATCCAATATAGGTTCTAACAGACCGCAACCATGCAACGTCGCCAAATGGTGAAAAAGCCCTATTCGCTATTGTAAGACTGACTAAAATAACAACATATTAATCATATTTGATTAGTACCTATATAGCAACTACGCACTCGCGGTTTTTGAAAATATTTAACCTGAGTATCAGGCTCTATTTTCTTCATTCGCCGCCGCCAATTAATCCTGGCGAATGAAAACATAAGGGCCTGATACTCAGGTTAAAAAATATTTTGCCAAACACTGCTCAGACAGTCATTGAACTAGAAATACGTTCATTTTCCCCAAATTACAAAGTCTGTTTCGGTTTGTTTTTTTATAATTGTACAACAGGCTTACAACAGGCTGGCACTTTACCAGCAGTGGTATTCGTTTACGCATGCGCAAGACAATAAATAGTTGCAAAACTTTGTTTTAAAATGCTACTGAACATCAAATGCCACTGTATACTATAAAGTTGTAAACTATACAGAACGAAAAAAGCCACACCATAGAATGACCGTTATTTTTTTGGTTAGCCTGCGAGCAGGCTCTATTTTTTGGTTGCAGAAATCTGAGCCACAATAATTTGCCCATGTATATGTAGGTAATAGTACGGTTTCGAATGCAATTTGGAAAAAACATGCACGAGCGAGTTTTTCAAAGACCATAAAAAATTCACGATTGTATGTTTTTCAAATTGCACGAGAAACCATACTGTTACGTATTAAGTAACAGTATATATACATGAAAAAATTATGCAGTCACTCCTACTGTCGTTCCAATTGAAGTGTTCCTCAAATATTGATTCAATACATTACCTCAGGCTGACCAATTCATTTCATCAAGTTCCTGGAGATATTCATACACTTCCTGTGAAAGAGCCAATTCCAAGAATTTGATCATGTCTGGTCACTTCCTTTCTATTTATGATTGGTTAGTTGCACAAACAACAAAGGTGATTGGTGCATTCAAACTATTCAACAGGAAGTTTACAAATATACTAGGAAGTGTATGAATATTTCGAGGAACTTGATCAAATGAATTGGTCAGCTCGAGGTAATGTATTGAATCAATATTTGAGGAACACTTCAATTGGAATGACAGTGTTTGTTTCTGCTGGAAATTGCTGTGTCTTACTGGCTATCTTAGTTATTGTTTCATATTTTAAGCCAATCAGAAAGCCTAAATAGTCAATGAAATTTGCACTGATTTCTTTATTTTGCACTGTACTTCATTTTTTGGCACTGTATTTCGAAAAAAATGCACTGCTCTTAGCCAATCAGAATTGAGAAATTTTTTCATGTATATTAATTAATAGTGAAATAAAGGTAACATCCTCATGTTTCGCGCACGGATATATTTCTCTCTTTGATCTTGTCCCCCAATTTAATACAACCCTTTTCCTAATCCACCCTGTGACACTTCCCAAATTTGCTAGCTCGCAATGAATTGAATGAAAACACTTATTTACAATGGATTACATTGTCCGCCTCAATTTCAACCTATTTTTCATGTTCACTTGAGCAATTCAGGGTGTCGTCCGGAAGAAAAAATCCGGCAATTTAATGAAATTGTGATATTCGGTTAGCCCGTGACATTTAGACCCCGAGTTAATTAAGAAATGTACTTAACGAATGGCATTCTCGTGGCCAAGCGAAAGGTGCTGATTGGCTGAGCAAAATTGAAACCTTTAAATTACAAGTCAACTGACATTTTTTTGCATAATAAAAACACTCAGGCAAATATATTTTAGGCTATAGATGTCCTCTTCCCAACACTCGAAGTTGTGAAGTTGAACAATCTTGAAATTCACAAGCTGGATTGTAAACAAAGCCTCTGATTGGCCCCTGAACTAAAAGAAGCCAATCAAATGCATCGTTTGCTACATTTAGGGAAAAGTTATGTGAAATCAACTGTAATTCTTTTTCAATGTGGTCAAGATATTTTTGGCAGACCTAGATTGGGAAAAGAGCGTATGACGCTGAATTTTTTACTGTAGCTACACTAACACCCTGAATTCGGGAAGTGTCTATTGGGGCCGAAACATCAGGATGTAACCGACATAACAGTATCGATCGATCATTCGCTTATAAAATATGTTCAATTGTAGTATATATATAATTTACATACATGTCCATTACAACCTTTGTTATTCGGGCATGCACAACAGCCGAATAGTACATTAAATATTCTCTCAATAGAAATTAAAATAGGTCTAAGTTATCTATAGAATTAGCTTTATTATTATTATTATTAAATTATGTACTGCCCACTCTGTCTCTTGGTATTAGCCTTAGTTCTGAACCATGTTTAAGAAAAACATTTCCTGAAAAACACAAAATATATAATAATGATCACGGGTTAATTATGGGATTTTCACATCATATGGTTTTTCACCTTTTCAAATGAAACTTTATAGCTGATACAATCAAAAGCGTAACTTGGGTCTAAACATTATAGGGGGATGTGGAGCCGACAAAAAGGGTGTCGTAGAAAAAATATGTAAAGATTCTGGGAAATCAAAAACATTAATGAGGATCCGTAGGGTAGTAGCATCGAATACACCATTCTCGTTCTCAAACCTATGTGGGACCTGGTCCAATGGGCCTAGCGACGATGATGTGGAGGACACTAGGGGAGGGGGGGGGTCTAGAGTCTATTGTAAAGAACTTCCATTAAAATTACATTAAGTATCCACAAAAAACCATTAACTCTAATAAATTGCGGCCCCACGTCGTGTGTTTAGTCACGTTTTGTATTCGTTGTTTTGAGAAAGGTTTCAAGGGTTAACAGAATTAAAGGTATATCTCGTTCAAATCACCGTAAATTTTGATGAACAAGTCTAACGTTTATTACATGGCGCCCAACGTGGGGCCCCCATGACATGTTTGAAAGTCGTATTATCGTGAAATCGAATGAAATGTCTACCAAAACTGAGTTTGGAACCGACTGTTGCTGTTCGAAGGACACATCGAGGAGACTTGCGAAAGAGTTCAACTGTATCGAATGAATCGTAGGAATATGAACGTTTACCAAATACTTACTGGATTAATCGAAGCGAAAGGGAAATTGTTGGAATCGTTGGATGAAAATGTGCTTGTCAAGGCAAAAATAGAAGACATTGAATATGAGGTAAAAGAGTCGTCATTGATTGCTAAGAAGATTATCGAGGTGAGGCGTAAGATTAACAATTTACTTAGGAAATGTTATAATGATAGTTCAAATTCGTCTAAATCTTTATCAAGTGTTCAAAATAGTGAAATACTGTCGAATAATTCTGGGGCTACAGAGCCCGTAGAAGCCGATTTGAAACAAGAAATCGGCTTCTAGTGAAACAAGCACGCAAGACAACACGAACACGACGGAGATCACGAACACGCAAGAGAGCTCAAACATGCAAGAGAGCACAAATTCACACACAGTTAGAAATAATAGCTCAAATCAACATACACCAACACAACTGCAGCACATTAAAGTAGCTAAACCAAGATTGCCAAAGTTATACCTAAATTCCTAAAGTACCAAAATTCAGGGATGATATAAAAAAGTGGAGTGCATTTTGGGAATCGTTAGTTCATAAAAACTAAGAAATGTCGCCCATAGATAAGTTTAACTACTTTAACTCTCTGCTTGAGGGTGAAGCAGCAAGAGCAATTCAAGATTTACCATCAACAAATGTCAACTATAACGTTGCCGTCGAGATATTAAGAAAGAGATTTGGCAAGCTAGCCCCAAACCACAATTGCTGCACATATGGATGTCCAATTTACCATTCATGTACGAGGGCTTGAGACACTAGGAGTTAATGCCCAGCAATATGGTAGTCTACTTACACCCATTGTAATGTCGAAAAAATAGCAGTATAGTGTGGGAATTAAAATAAATCATTGAAATACTGAAGGCGGAAGTAGAGGGCCTGGAGGCCCGTAAAGCTAATATTTTATTGAAAACAAATGAGCACAGTCACGATAATAGGAAATATGAGGGGTAAGGATATTGCTACTGGTGCATTTCTAAACAATTCGAACAGCCAACCTTTCGAAACAACATTTTTCGCCATCTTGCAAAAAAATTAATGATGTTATAGTAAGCGAAGGGATATTTTAATGCGAGATCGACGTTGTTTTATGTGTTTAAAGATAGGCCATCGAGCCTCGAACTGTGAAAGAACATCTAACTGTCGCAAATGTAACAAGCGCCATCATCAGTCAATTTGAATAAAGTGATAAGTCGACAACAATAGTTCGTATAGTGTTTAATGGTTCTGCTAAATCATCCCAACAAGAATTATAGATTAATGAATGCCTTGAACGAGGACAAAACATACTACCATAGTACCATCATTGTTTGACATTCTGGTGCGTTTCAGATCTCATTCTTATGCTCTCGTTGCCGATATCGAGAAGGCTTTCCACATGATTTCAATAAAGGAAGAAGAATGAGATGCCTTACGTTTTCTTTGGTTAAAAAGTGTGGATCGATGTTTAAAAGAGAACGTAGTGTATCGTTTCTGCCGTCTTGTGTTTGGACTGAAGCCCAGTCCAGCTATCCTTCGTGCCACTACAAAGAGTCATCTTTCGAACTGTTCGGAAACTGAACCCGAAGTTACTAAAGTGTTGGAAAATGATCTATACATGCGTGTTGATGATTTAGCAACTGGAACTGATTCTGAAGATGAAGCTGTTAGTTTGTTCAAGTCAGCAAAGAGCTAGGTTAATGAGCAATGGAAGGTTCAACCTCCGAAAATGGAACTGAAATTCCTCTCAAGTGCGAAAGGTTATTTCTAAAGTCCAAGGAAGTAATTCACCAAGAAATTTCGAAGGGAGAAGCACTGAAAGAGGAAGAAGCATGCCTGTATATTTAGTTTTTTTTTGCAGGTAGCCAAAAAAGATTTGCAGTTAGCCCTGCGTGGTCCAAACTTGCCCTCTTCGCTTGAAGCTTGCAAATTGCGACAGGGGACCGGACACCGAAGAAATTTTTTGAGTTATGTTTCATATTGTCAAAATCGAGTGTCCGCTAATTTGCTCAAACCCAATTGTTCGAAAATTTTCATATATCAAGCCGACAAGATTGTCGGCTGATGAGTAAAATTCGGAAACAGTATAGGGAATTAGTCAAACCACACAACGCTTGTTAGTTTAATATTTGCCCGGATTTGTATTTTTATTATCTTATAAGAACTTGAAATGAAATTGAAAATCATTGTTGTCATTGTCCAGCGTTTTACATGCAGTAATACTAGTAATACTTAATGTAATAATATTCAATGAATGAAAATCAAGAAAGCTGACCAACATGACTGTTCGAAGTAAATTTTCTCAAAAATTTTAAGTTTTTGATGACATCATTTGATGAATTTTCGTCTTGAGTACGACTCTTATTAAATCTGGTCGGTATAAATATTGCAAAATGTATTCGGCAAAATTGGAATTTTCTACTTTACTTAAGCATGCATAAGACTTTCTGACCAACGATTGCAGTTAGCTTCAGGCACTTGCAGCTAGTGCCGCTACCTAGGATCCCAACATTTGACAGGCATGGGAAGAAGTCTTGCAAGAACAAGTGAAGAATCCAATCCCTACTACACACGTATTTGGGTTACACGGGGAGAAGTAGAAAGAGCATCATTTGTGCTTCAAATCACGTAAGACAGATCAATTTATACGTGGACGAGCAAGGCATTTTGCGGTGTAGAGGAAGAGTTGGGAATTCGAGCCTTCCTTCAGAGACTGTAAATCCAGTGTTCTTACCTAACAACCATCACTTCACCGAATTGTTAATTAAAGAGGTACATTCCCGAATAATGCATCGCTATGCATTGTTAACAGCAATTCGTGATACCTATTGGATTCCACGTGGAAGAGAAGCCGTAAAGAAATTTGTCAGGAGTTGTGTGGTATGTACCAAGTATAGTGGAAAACCATTTCTGCATTATTTTCCACCATGCAAGCTCACCAGAAAGTCGAGTTGATGAAGGTCAACCTCGTGACCTACGACAAATACTGGAATAGACTATACAGGTCCATTGCATGTTAGAAAAAGAAATTCATCGGATACGGGAATAACGGAAAAGGTTTACTTATGTCTATTTACCTGCGCCTCAAGGAGAGGTATTCATATAGAACTAGAAGAAAATTGTTATGCCGAAAAATTTCTCCTAGCATTTCGTTGTTTTATAGGGCGTAGGGGACTACCGCGTTTACTAATGTCGGCTAACGCAAAGAACTTCAAAACGTCAGCTAAAGAAATTACGAAGATTGGAAGGTCAACGTTAGTGCAAGAACACATCACAAATGTTGGAGTCGAATGGATGTTTATCGTTGAGGAAGCCCCATGGTGGGGTGGATTTTGGGAACGTCTTACAAAACTTACAAAGGATTGTGTTGAGAAGGTTGTTGCATGGTCGCGCTGTTCTGACTTTTGAAGAACTAAGAACATTGTTAATCGAAGTGGAAGCTGTTGTCAATTCTCGTCCATTGTATACGCTTATGACGACGTAGATGGTACTTCGTATGCCTTGTCACCAGCACACTTGATGTATGGAAGAAGGATAACGGCGTGTCAAAACGAGGAGAATTACGAGGTAATTACAGTAGTACTTACGAAGGTTTCACGAAGCGTGCACGACATCACCAACGTTTGTTGCGGCAATTTACAAAACAGTGGAAACATGAGTGCTTGACAAGTCTCAGAGAGAATGCCAGAATGCCGAAAAGAGTCTGCATGTCAACACTCTACCGAACGTCGTGGGTTTTCTCCGGGCGCTCCGGTTTCCTCCCACAGGGCAAGTTGACAGGGTGGGTTGGGATAAACACAGTTAGGAATTAAAGTAATATCACAATTGTTGTAAAGATAAATAGTCTAAGCTAAGTAAGTAACATAAATAAGCATAATACTTGATGTACTGTACTGTAATCGGCCACTGAAAAGCCCCAATAATGAGTGAGCTGAATAATGTAATGTAAGAATTACGAAAGAGAACGAACTGCATATGGCAGTTGGTGTAGTTATTTTGAAGAAAGAAGGAACGGCAAGATGTTTTTGGAAATTGGCGAGAAAGTTACTAAGCTCCTTAACGGTAAAGATGGTGGTAAGGTAAGAGCGGCGGAAATAAAAGTTATGGGGTCAGAAGGAACGATAAGCGCCACTACCTTGAGAAGACCGTTACAGCTACTTATACCTACTGAGTTGACATCGTCAAACGAGAGTAAGAAAGTTGAATCGACTATAAGAGACCTTAATCCTGAGGTTGAAGAATTCGTACCACGAAGAGTGAGACGAGATGCTGGTACAAACGGAGAAATTCGAAGAAAACGAGCTATGAACATATGAACATGCGAACAGCGAGCATTAACTTTATGTCCGGCGTTAAACGAATCAACCTGGGGAATGTAAAGAACTTCCATTAAGTTTACATTAAGTATCCACAAAAACATTGACTCTAATAGAATGCGGGCGCAAGTCGTGTGTTTAGTTGTTTAGTCATGTTTTGTATTCGTTGTTTTGAGAAAGGTTTCAAGGGTTGACAAAATTAAAGTTATATTTCGTTTAAATCGCGTTTAAATTTCGTTTAAATCGTTTTGAAAGTTAATAAAACAGCCAATGAAAGGAAATTTTAAAAGATACGTAAACCAAATAACTCAAAATGTTATAGCGCTTCTAAATATTTGAAAAACTTAAACCAGGATCAAAGTCATCGGACAGTAAAAATCGAACTGTGTTGTGGAATCGCGTCCGGTGTGTCTGGGCATTAAGTCGAGCGTTTATTACACCTACCTGTATGAAACGCCATTTCATGCACTTTGGGGGTAGATTTTACCGAATTCTGATGGTCAGAAACCGACGTATATTAGAATAGCAATTTTTAAAAGTTGCTCAAACTGGGCTTCTAAGGTTTTTTGTCCTTACTCAACATTATATGAATGTATTTTTGCCCAACAAATTATTAAATATTTGATAAATGCCCTAGCAAATTCCTGTTCTCGAACATTAGAGGGGTCACACCACCAAGCCCCCCCCCCCCCGCCCAAGGATTGATGGCCCTGAATACAATTTACATTAGTATAAGTATAGGTTATTTTGAGGCAACGAGGGGATATGTGATTTATTCACCGAGGCGCGCAGCGCCGAGGTGAATAAACACATATCCCCGAGGTGCCTCAAAATAACGTACTTATTTTTCACACTGCGAGGTCGCGTTAATGAGTCAGAAAAGAAATAATTCTCAATGCCATATCGCCTTCGCGATGTTGTTTTTTCTCATTTTTTGTGCTGCAAAGACATTGCAGGTGAATATTAGAGGGGATTATTAATTGCAGGTGAATATTAGAGGGGATTATTAAACGGAAATTGATTAGAGTGGAATATTGAATATATTCCCCGACAAGAACAAAGGAAACCGAGCAGGGTGAAAAATAAGTAATAGTATGGTTTTGAGTGCGACTTGGAGAAAAAATGCACGAGTCCGAAATTCGGTAGTGACTGATCGCAAAATAATGGACCATTTGCATTATAGACTAAATTTTGATCTAGCCAAGAATTTCATCACAGCTTGAAAGAGCATCACAAAATTAGTAATATTCCAAAGTTTCGTTGCGAAATGTTGTAAAATGCGGATAATATAGCCTTGCGAAATTTGCAATTTTCAGTCATTTTGTATTACAAACGGGAAATTGATGCCCCAACACCCGATTGGGCTGTCAATTTCCCCCGCGTAATACAAAAAAAAACTTCGCAAGGCTATATTATCCGCATTTTACAACATTTCGTAACGAAACTTTGGAATATTTAATATTTACTAATTTTGTGATGCTCTTTCAAGCTGTGATGAAATTTTTGTCTAGATCAAAATTTAGTCTATAATGCAAATGGTCCATTACCCCACTGTATAATTTAAATGTGTGATGAATAACTTAATTCACTGGCAAAGGTATGCATGCAGTCTGAGTGCCGTCTTGTTAGTAATGTACTAATGAAATGACTTCATTCAAATATCTATGTAAAACTGTAAAACTACCTGCACTTTGTGATGGGTTGATACCAATTCCATCTAAACAGATACAATGCATAATATTATTCCATTCCTTCATAAATTTGTGCCAAGCATATTGCAGTAAATTCTAAAACATGCTTGGGCATTTAAAGTCTGTGCTTTTTACCACTCTGGATTTACTGTTCACCATGGCAGGATTTTGAGGGGAGGTGCGCACCTCCCCTGGGCGAGATCATTTTGCACCTCACCTGAGAATTTTTGCACCTCTCCTTGGGAAATTTTCAATGATAGATCAAGGTGAAAATTTGACATTTTTTGGTGGCTTAGGGTCTACCATAGCCTATCGAAGGGGAGATGGCTGTGAAACCCATTAGAATAACAATATAACTCATTATCTGTGTTGGTCAACGTTTATTCATAAATCTGGTCCTTCATCGTTACGTGTGTATTGTATTTTTACCCAACAAACCAATAGCAATGTTTTAGGAAAGTCACCTATCCGTGACTCGAACAATAGGAAAACTGGAAATTGCTATTGGTGGATTTGGCAGAAATACAATACACACGTGACGGTGAAGGACCATATTTATGAATACACGTTGACTAACAAAGATAATGAGTTGTATTGTTATTCTAATGAGTTTCACAGCCATCTCCCCTTCGATAGGCCATGGGTCTACACTTCGGTCTACACAGAAAGTTTTTTTGTAAAATTTGAAACAGTGATAGCCATTCATCTCTGTGTCAATTGCCCTTTTAATGCAATGTTTCAAAAGAAACTTTGTAGCAATTGTACTAAATGAAGGGTAAAATTGAATAGTAGGAATACACATTATTCGAATTTGAATATGCTATGCCCAATTTACAATCGTAAAACAGAAGGAGGCAGAACCTTCACTGTAAGAACAATTATAGACTGGAACAAATTAGATTTGAACGTTAGAAGTACTGTATACATTCTGCTTTTAGTTTTAGGCGCAGTATTTGTAAACAGTTTTTAGATGATCAAAAATCTGCAAATAGGTTGCAGCGTTAGGGTCGTGTTTTAATAACTTTAACTTTAAATATGGACTGTGTTCTAATATCTTAAATTTTGTAAATTTTGAGGGCCACAAGTTTATCAGTTTCTTACTGTCACGTGTTTACCCTCAGTAAATAAAGCCTTTCACTTCACTTCAATGAGTTGTATGTCAGCCATAATTCATTTATTCATTAATACACTGATACATATTGTATGCACACTACATGCATACGTCACGTCGTTGACATTAGGCCTTTCTAAGCCCTAACTTTCCATGGGGTTGTTAGCTAAACCGCTGCACTTCCCCTAAAACTGCATGTAAACTTATTTCCATTAAATGATTTTGTTGCAGATACAGAAAAAGCAGTCATATATGCAACATACTTGCGGCATTACAGTATCAAACTAACTGAAAAATATATTATAAAACTGAAAAACTTTGACAAAGATGGGCTCTTAACTTCCAAGTGGCCAAAGGAACCTCCTTCTAAGTTTTTGTTAAGTTCATCACTGGATGTAAATGACAGATCTTGCAGTGTTACTTACCATTTGTAATAATTGCACTTGTGGCAGGAGCAACCTTGAACTATAAATATACAGTATAGTAAGTTAAGAATGCCGTTATTTACACTGTACACAGACCATCAATACATTGTCTACAAGGAACACTAATAAGCTATCCAGACCAAGTAGTAAGAATAGTGCAATTTATACAGGTGTTGGTTCTCATGGTATTTTCCAAGTACCCAATTTTTTTTAAAACAAAATATAAAGGTGTCCATATTAGACAGATGCCTGTAAGGAGAAGCAGCTTGTGTATATTATTAGCATAAAATGAACACCACTCCAATATGGCCATTTTGCAGGGGTCGGTCACAGCAAAAAACTCATACACAGAACTCAGCAATCAAGTTGAAAATCAGGAAATCAACTAGGAATTACTAGAAATAAGATGATTTCAAAATCAGGAATAAGCTTAAAAGTGGTAAAGCAGAAATATGCTTGTTTCTTTATTGTGTATCTCGGACAAATTTCATAATTAACCCCTTGCTCTCTTCAGTGCCTGTATTAGAGAGATTGAACTGTCTAGAAGAATTATACCAACAATAGTGATTAACCAATTGTGCCACAATTGGAAATTACCCATTATTTGTGCAACAATCTACCCAATACCGATTTTATAATGATGTCATGACACTGTCAACCAAGTAAAGGTGATGTCATTCATTTCGATTTATTAACGAGGATTTTCAATGTACAGTAACATGTTACTACAACCACCTTTAGTTAAAACTGTTCATAAATGGAATGCTTCGCGGTACATTAATTTAACATAATGCGTTGAAACGCAACATGTACCAACATTTTAAACTGTATACTTTGTCAACAATCAGTTTTACACAAGATAATTCAACCAATTCAGATTGTATATCGATAAGGCAAAAATCATTAGCCAATGAACTTGCCAAATGACCAGACTGCTAAGCTTGCCATGCACGCCGAACACCTTCTGAGTCCAAATTTGCCATCCTAGGTGTGTTCCTTTATCGGGGAAGAAAATTTTGGCATGCAGTTTAACCCATTAAGCGCCAGCGCTCTTCCCTTGACGAGTAAAATCGTCTGGCGTTAGACAGAGTAAAATACTAAAGTAGGGTGCATCAGGGTGCAATGCGACTCAATGGGTTAATTTAGTAAACTTAAGGGCTGTTACTTTATATATGGAAGCCGAGCTGGCCCGCTTAGAGACAGCCCGGTAAGAGGAATGAATTTCTCTGTTGTTAAAGGACAATTTTGTTGTTTTGACATAGTTTTGACAGTTGCTAAAAATAGCTTGTGGCAGCATTTTTGAACTTTCATCCTGGCAACTAGATATGAAGAAATTTTTACTATAAAAACAACTACAAAAGATCTCGATTCCCGGCCTGTTTCACTAAGTGGGCCTTAACCACAGGTATTTTTTTAGGCCTTAGCAGTCTGGCAGATGATGATCATGATGCATCTAATAAATTTAAATCAGGTCATTGCAAACAAATCAGTGAGAGCAAAAAATATATATCATCTCATTATTATATACTTATAGAAAATAACTATATAATTAAATAAACAAAGTAAGGCTGGAGTACAGTTTAGCGGATCCCAACAAATAATTCGAATCTTTTAAGGTTGGTTTAGGATTTATATGTATTTTTTAGTTATTTACTACACAACACATGTGCATGCACTCTTACCCCCCAAAATAATTTCATAATCTATTCTCACCTCTTCAGCCGCAAATTTTAAAACATGTGTGAATGGCGTAGCTTCGGGAACACTGAGTCTAAATTTGGGAAAATAACGAAGATTGTGTGAAGAAAATTCAACGATAAATTATTTTTCTTAAAAATAACATAAATTAAAGTTCAATACTCACACTTTGAAAGGCAGTTTCGGGTCAGATGTAAGAGTAATCTTGAATGTTACTTTAGACCTTCGTAAAGCATAAAATGACGTGTTACAATGTGTTCTGTGTTACTTGTACGGATAATTAAAGAAAGAGAAGACTTACATTTTACAATAACGCTAAAATATGATGAAAAGTTCCACACAAATGATGACGAGTTCTCAAATCTCGAATCTCAATAAATCCGATGAGCGGAAAAATTAGTTACCGGAAATGACGTCAGAGAGCAGATGTGGAAGTAAAGTTTATATATATAACAGTATGATAACAGCAATATAGATCGAAATTTATATAGGCTGTTGCGTATTGCAGGGAAAAATTTAAATCTTTCTAAATTTTATATAAGTAATAATTACCCAACAAGTACGCATTATATCGCACACAAAATTAAATGCGGTCCGTTTATTCATTCAATTATTTCATCAGAAAGAGCAGCTGCGAAAAATGCATCTATATAGGCCCTCTGGGCTCTGGCAGGAATTAAACCTGCGGTCCAGCGATTCCAGTGCAGCATTCTAACTATTAGAATGACGATTCCAGTGCAGCATTCTAACTAGTCGTCAGTGCAAGTGCCTTTAACCTCTGGGTTTGTGGATTCGATTCTCGCTACGGACTCGTGTGAAAAGAACGTGTTGCAACGAGTCGAGTCATTCATTTTCTGCGATTGGACTCGAGTCGAATACGTCAAATGACTCGACTCGAGTCAACAGTCCCAAATGACTCGACTCGGACTTGACTTGTTGATTTCTGCCGTAAATGACTCGAGTCATCAACTCAGCTACAACCCCAGTTGTCCGGGATAAATTCGTCAAAAATATTGTGGTTGTATACGTTGGGAAGAGTCCCGAAAGGGCTTGAAGAAATACTGAACGTAATTCTCGTTTTCAGACTTTTCACTTGTACAGTGGCATTTTTGTTCACCTTTTTAATTGTTCACCGTAAAATTCGCGTAGTCGACTCGAGTGAAGCCATTGAATGACTCGACTTGGACTCGTCTCGAGTGAAGCCTCGGCCCATGTAACTAACCATACACTCCTTGGATTCTGGATTCCACTCCTTGCATTCCGGATTCCTCTCTTTGGATTCCAGATTCTGCTCCTTGGATTCCGGATTCCAAATCGGTTGTGGATTCCGGATTGGCCAGAAAATTGGCCCAGGGTAAGGATTCCAGATTCCCCTGATGTTTGGATTCCACTGTCTGAATTCTGGATTCCTGAATTACCTTAGATGGGGCGAGAAGCTATTGACTCGACTCGACCAGATAGTGAAATGACTCGACCTGTTGGTGTCTCTTTACAACAGTAGTGAAGAGTCAGTCAACACTACTCCGCCGAACGTCGTGGGTTTTCTCCGGGTGCTCCAGTTCCTCCCGCAAGGAAAGTTGACAGGGTGCTGGGGTTTAGGTAAACATGTAAGTCTAGGCTAAGTAAGTAATTACAGTAGGTAAGTGTAACACTTACATTTATGTACGAGTCAACTCCAACCGCGATCAGGCCTCCCCCCCCCCCGGGCAACCACCGGGGAATTTGACTTTTGAAAAGATAATTGGTCAAATGCCCGCCCGAACAGGCAGAAACCACAGTTTAAATGCCCTGCTATAGGGGTAGTCCTGTTTCTGGAATTTTGACTAAAATTAAATTGAACAAGTATTTCAAGATTAAAAAGAACGAAAAATAGGCCAGACAGTTCTTCTTTTTGTTCAACTGGGCATATTGCATCATATATCTATGATTGATATTTGTGATTCAGAAGCAATTTTCAAACTATCGAAAAGACGCAAAATAGAAAACTCGTAAAGCGCTAGAATGTACACATATTTTTAGGGAAAACTGCTGAGCAAGTTGTTGTCAAGTGGTCAAATGCCCGACCGGGCCGTCAAATTCCCGACCGGGCTGTCAAATTCCCGCCTATACGGGGGTAATGTTAAGTCAAATGCCCTGGGGTTGTCCGGGGGGGGGGGGTGCTGATCGCGGTTGGATTTGACTCGTACATTACATCAAGTAAAGCGCATTTGATCATATATCATTATTATTAGAAATGTTAATCGTAATTGTAACCAACTGAACTACAGAGGTCAGTTGTTGAGCTCTAAGCATTCCAACCGTGCAGCCATGGTCATGGCAAGGTATATGGGTAAATACCTGAATAAGGATTATTAGGGCATCTCACTCGACATTATTCATTAATTCTAGATTCCCTTACTACGTTTTCGTAGCGCTTTGCATTGTGGTTATAGTGGTATCACTAATAAACTGATAGCGGCATCGAATGAAAATATTGAATCATTCGCGAATATTTTGCTGTTGGCGATCGCGCACCTGACCCTAGCTTTTTTTAAAAGTTCTTGCACCGGTCAGGACAAAAATAAGCCATCTTGAATATTAGTGATACCACTATAACCACAATGCAAAGCGCTACGAAAACGTAATAAGGGGAATCGTCAATTAATTAAAGTGCACCTAACCTCAATTATTTTTATCATCTCATTCTTAAGAACTTCTGAAATGATATAATAACTTATTTGGAAGATTTCCGTTTGCTCACTTTGTTTCTGAGATATTTCAGTTTGTTTGGTACCATGCAAATATCTGAAATTTACATCGTATTCACTATCGAGTTTAATTCATTAAAATGAAGTTTGGAGTTGTGGAAGGATTACATACTTATGTAAAATTAACACCATCAGTTAGCCTTTTTATTTCATGATATTTAACTGTACCTTACATTCTTTGATGAGTCATTCAAAGATTCATATGTGGCGTAAATTCCGGACATTTGCATGTCAATAAAACTAAAATAACTCGATCAGAGATAAAGCGTGCAAACGAAAATCTTCAAAATATGTTACAATATCATTAAAGGTTCGTACGTAGGAATAAGATGTTAGAAGAATTGAGGTTTAATAGGTGTACTTTAATTAGTTCCGAATCTGGCCTGCGCTGCTGAAGCCACCAGACTAGCTTAATGGCACTCCATTGAGTTGGGTGGTGATCTATAGAACTGCTAGCCTGCATGGCAGGCGGTATTTCTACGGGCAGCGAAAATTAGGGAAGCAAAGGAAATACCGTCTGCCGCAAAACTAGGGGTTTTTGAATTACCCGTCCGCTGGTGAACGGGAAAAACGGATTGGTTAGTATTTTTATGTAGTTGTCAATCAACGGCTAAATTCGGTTAAATGTTAATCATTAACCAAATGTTTTGACGTTTTGAAACTCTGCGTTTTGAAATTAGTTCACGTCAAGTCAGACCAGAAATGGAATAACATAATAAAAGAAGCAAATTAAAAGATACAAGCTGAAAAATAACACTCTAAATAGTGTTTTTGATAGAGATTCGAACAAGAATATTTAACAAAGAAGATACGTCCGAAGGGGCCGAAGTTATGATCGGCGAAAGGTATGGGCTAGTCTATATTTTCGTTCAGACAATTACATGCGTATTAATTTGATAATATACTATCTCGCTTGACTTTCAAAGGCCATAAATCGCAATAATGTTGACATTTTACTAAAACTATCGATAGAAATTAGGAGATATTTCTTCACTGAATCGAACAGTGGGATTTCCATATAGGCCTATCAGTCATGTTCTGAACCAAAGATACCTCGAAAGATACTTGATAGATATTATATACGAACCTCCAAAGTATAAACAAGGGGCCGGTTGATGCAGTAATTATCAAATAACTGTTAAACTCTTTATATATACCCGTTGAATATGTATAGTTGTAAACAAATAAAAACTATCGTTCTATAAGGTTCAATACTTTCAGTTTGGTTGTTGACTGATGATGAATCTATAGTATAGACTTGCATGCTTTGTATTTTGAGCTTATTAAACCACCGTTTTAAGGCAGCTAAACGGCTAAACGGGCTTGGTTTATATTAACACATAAAATAAATTCCTTGATTCTCATCACTAGACACAGTCTACACTTTGAAATGTCGAAGACAGTGGGAGATTTATTTTTTATATTTTATGTTTATATAATTTATATATCAATAGTTCGTATCTCCACGAACAATGACAGAATGACTGGGTTTCTTTAAAATACAATGAAATTTCACTCAGTTTAAAATGGCAATAAAAACTCTATATAAAATATGAAAAAATTAACTGTCTTGAATTATTTTGTCGGACGGTACATTTATATTGTATAACTAAAATAAAACGTTTTCACGAGGATTTTAAAATTCAGTCGGGCGGTGATAAGAATCAAGGAATTTATTTTATGTTGGGCAGTTGGGACTTGGGAGCAGCTTGGGAGTGGCTAATTTTGAATATTTACTTAATTAATGCATCTATAAATAGCGTTGATGCTTCAGGGGCGGTAGTTCATTTACACCCAGTTTTGCGGCAGGCGGTATTTCCTACGTACCGCCTGCCATGCAGGCTATAGAACTGCTAGTACAATACATCCGATTACAAATTAATTCATCATTCTTTGATTTTAGCTAATTATATTAGCGTCTGCTTATTTTGCTGCATACCAGGAAAAGGCATGCACTTGCGGTATTTAGCCCACGTACTTGTTAAACAGATCTGATCGTACCTTCTAGTGCCAATTTTGATACTCGAATGCCGCCCTAAATCGCCCACACCACCTCTCACTCGACGGGCTTCCAGCTGAGAAAAGTAATGCTCGAAACAACCTGTAAACTTGCCGCTTGCGTCATTGGGTTGATCATACAAAGGTGCGTGGTTTAACGGCAGTAATTCATGACCGATCATGCGACTACCGATTGTTCCAGGTTACAATCGCAGGGCCTTTTTTAACTATATGTATAACCGTACATTGTGTTGTAAATACGGCCTAATTAGATTTTAAACATTTTCAAGTGGATCAGTCATAGTCCAGACCTCATACATTTAAGTTGTTGTAAGGCTAGGCTAAACAAGTTACTTACCAATGTGGTGGTATTTACATAAACATACCATGCAAGGACTTAACTGAAGATTCAGTCTATCTACAGTATCTAGTACAATATACTGTAACGCTATATAACAAAAATCTGTTTCCGAAAACACACAAAATGCAGTCTTAGGGGTGGAAAATACAAACTGCATTTAGGTATTACATACGACACCACACCAAACGCCGGTTTTGTCACCAACAAACCATCTGCCGTTATCTCTCCACACTCAGTATAGTATTGTCCCTTTCTGAAGATATATCCCAGTCCCTCTCCCCCCCCCCCTCCCCCATGCAGACAAGTTCTTAAAAAAGGCCCTGCTTGACAATCGGCTCGATTCCAATTCTATTCGATTGTTAAACTATGATGTTATTTCTCCACATTATAAAATAGTTTAGTAGCTTTGCATAAATTAAAAAAAGATTTTGTTTTATTTCGCAAATTATTAATAGTATTTTGGAGCCATGATCAAGAATTTTAGCCAGTTTCGATGAGCATAAGATCACGGTGAGAAAATGGGGAGTCAGATACTTGTCAAACACTAAACTCTTCATCTCTGCAAGTACTATTAAATTCTAATCTTTTACTGTTTCTCGAATTAAGCTCTCAGCTCTGTATACAGTGTGTATCAAAATAATTCGAATCCAAATTTGGCGTGTAATAACGCAGAATATATTTGACAAATTCGGTTGGTTTTTACACCATTGTTAAGTTCATTTATTTACCTTTCAAATGACATGCTGTACGCGTCATTTAGTTGGAAAATGAAGGAGTATTGCTTTGACAAAAAAAGTCCATAAAAATCACAATTTTCCGCCGATGGGAATTGGACATTTTTTCTTTCAAAGTTAGTCCCACAAGGCTTTGAAATGCTAATCATCACAGTGAAAACTTAAATTGAATTTCTTCTCGTTCAACATGTTGAAGGCATAGGAGCTTAAATCTCTTTAAATGAACACGAATTTATGTAAATTTTGCTACATAACAGTTTGTTGATTAATTAAATTTGCATTATCTTTTGTTTTTACGTCTCACTTCGAATTCCCATCGGCGGAAAAATTTGATTTCGAGCAACCAGTTTTAACACACGATTTCTTGGTCATTTTTGATCTTATTGATATAAGAACGATATAATCGGAAACCTAATAGGCTATTCTTAATTGCCATATAAAAATTATATGGTTTACTTTAGTATTTTATAAACAGCAGTCTGTCAAATTTGGATTCGAATTATTTTGATACACACTGTATAGTAAAGTTGTGCAAGCCAAAACTTAATAGTGGTCTAATGGCATCGAAAGAACTAGTTGTTTTTCCGTATTAAGTAAATTGTTTGTAAATACAGCGCCTCATATCCATATTTTTGTCTTCCGTTCCAGTTGATTACGTCATCTTCCTATTTCTCCTTATGAAGATGTGACGTGTAAATAATTAATGGAACTGACAAGTTTCGTTGGTAGGGATTCAACAACCTGAAAAATATAAGGAGCTAGAATTTCGACGTTCATTTGATTGGCACTGCCACTACCTACACTGGCAAAGACAGTTGATGTAAATAATTATAGCTGCCTCGTCCCTCGTCGCTTCGGTTGTGAATAGAGATCAGTGGAAAAATAATGGGAGCGCGGGGCTTAATGGGACCGCGCGTACGGATGACGGATGAGGGACTGTGGAAGAGTCAGAATAATTAGTTTGGTTTGACAAATGATCCTGAAATAGAGTTGAAATACCACCACCATAATTTACGTCTTGTTTTCTTTAACTCATATCCTGAGTTTACAAGATGGCATTATTATTCGTATGTATGTTTTTTCTTCTTATATTTCACAATTAAATTCCTTGTTTTCTTTCAACGCCCGCTCGCGGGTAACCAAGTCACGTCCGCGAGTCCCGCTTTGCAGGCTTTGAATACATAAATAATTCCTAAGTATTTTTAGATCAGTGGTGTGACGTCATATGAAAAATTGCATTTCGTAATTCGATAATCGGTGCTAAATTGTACCGAGGTCGTCAAACACTGTTTTTACTATTTTATGTACCTCGTTATCTACCGTACACTTTTGTTTAGGTTGTAAAACTACCACCAAGCGAAAAATACGCGTATATTGGTATTGCAACAAGATAAACATCAAAACAGATCATGAAAACAGCATTATTCTCACGTTGAAACATGACATGTAATAATCGCTATTTTGACAAATTTCAATTCCTATTTATATGAACAAGGGAAAGGCGCGATGACATGTGGACGCAGTTGCTATGGAACGGCTTATAAACAGTAAATAACAAGAAAATTAATTTCCGATGATATAAATAATTTAAACACTATTTGATTTTCGGATTAGCTTTATTAAATTTTTATGCGACTGTTAGTGCATACAAAAATGTTTGTGTAAAACCGTTTGTGCGGCTTTTTAGCTTCAAACGTTCCGTGAGTTTATCCGCGATTTTTAATTTTAGTGTATTTTGAACTATTTTTATGCGATCAACCGCTGAGGAGTGTGTTTGTGGGTGCATATTAAAGAACGAATGTTGACTTCCTTCGATTTTTTTTAGATTAAAAAAAATGACTTGCGTGGGAGAGAGGCTAGCTATTAAAAAATTTTAAATTCCTAGGAATTTTCTAGATCGATGTGGTCTACGTACGGCCTTGTTTTTCGAATTTACCTTATATGTCTTATAAACTAAACCGGTCTTTATAATTACAGGCCACCTGCTTTTGTGTTGTTGCGAAACGGTGTATTAGTATTAGTAATACCCGATTTATGTTAATTTCTATTTTAAATCGTTGACACTACTATGACAGAGGCTTCTGTAGTGTGCACCTGTCCAAATTCTGCTTTTTGTCCTACTCATTAATTATTTTTCAATTCTCAAATTAACCGCAAATTTATAGCAGGTTTTTAAACTCACACTTCGGCCTGTGAAATGGCGGCCTTGGTTGACACTTTGACTTTGCCCGTTTGCCCTGCGCGATTGCGATGCGCTCTGCCCTTCTGAAACACGTGATTGTTTCATTGTCAACCCGTGATGCGATTGGCTGATAAAAACAAAGAGACAATAACATTTCATATCGAGGTCACATGATCATATAAAATTATTTTGCTACAAGGATTATTGCGAATTGAAATATGTCCACGAAGGGAAGTTAATTTTATGTTTTAATAGCAAAATTCCCTATGTAATCTGTTCAGTTCTATTTTATCTGTGCTTCTGCCTCGTGCAAGAAGCTGGAGGCATTGTACTTGCCTGTGTTGCGGTGATTTTTGCTGTGGCAAACACGACAGAAGTTCATAAAGGGGTGTCACTATAATATACAGCTCACACTCTGCCTGGCAGACGAACGGCCGGTGTTTATTATTTACGAGAGATTATGGATATTACTGCAGGTGAATACGGCAATCACAGTCGTGCCTCATCTGAAGCGGACTCCAGAAATCCCGAGACACGCTTGAAAAGTTTCAATGCATTGGTCAAAAAAGATCGTTCGTTCTCACAAGTTGACACACGGAACAACAAGGGTTGCGTGCCACTCTATTTCGAGCGAGCTTCGTCGGCCTGGTGGTATCCGAAATTTGATTCTTCGATTTTGGAAAAAGAGTACCAAGAATTCTCTTTCGTCAACAACCGTCGCGCTGTGGTTAAAATATTAATATACTTGCTTATAGCTGCTTTAATATGGATGATATACTTCGGTGCAACGCAGGAAGACGACAACCGCCAGCCTGTTCTGATCGCCATCGCTTGTTTTGGTGCGGTGTTTTTCGTTTCCCTCGCCTTTGTACAGTCCTCGCTTTACCGCCATATACCGTGTATAGCTTCGTTGTTTCTCGCCATGCTCATAATCACGGTCGATTTGCTATTTTTCGTGCGAAGTGTCGAAGAATTTTCGGGCGCAGCGCACTTCGCGATGTGTGCTTCGTTTATTCTAATTATTTACACTATGTTACATTCCATACCGCTATTCGTCTCGATGATTATCTTGGCGTTATTTTCCATAGTTCACGAGATTCTGTACGGGTATGAACTCGGTTTAAACGAAAGATCCGGAAAGATAGTATGCACGGCTGTCCTTCATCTAGTTGTTCATATCATCGCCATCCAAATCAGTTTCATGGCACAGGTTCGAGATCGTAGCACCTTCTGGAAATTTGGTCAACGTTTGATCGCGAAACGCGAGGCAGAGATCGAAAAGTCGGCGAAGGATTCCATGATTCGTTCTGTAATGCCGGAGACTATCGCCGAAGAGATTCTCATTGCGAATTTCATGAAGAAAGAGTTGACATTTCGTCCCTTTAAAATGCATCGCATGGACGACGTCAGTATACTGTTTGCAGACATTGTCGGTTTTACCCAAATGTCTTCCAACAAAACAGCCGAGCAACTGGTCGGACTTCTGAGCGATCTGTTTGGCCGCTTTGATCAACTTACATACGAACATCAGTGCGAGAAAATCAGCACGTTAGGCGATGCATATTATTGTGTCGCCGGCTGCCCAGAACCAATTTCTGAACATGCATTTTGTTGTGTCGACATGGGATTGGCTATGGTGAAGACCATCAAGGAATTTGATGAAGAGAATAACGAGCAAGTTGGTATGCGGGTTGGTATCCATACCGGTACGGTGTTGTGTGGAATTATTGGTAACAAGCGGTTTAAATTTGATGTGTGGTCAAACGATGTCACATTGGCAAATAAGATGGAGACCGCGGGCGTACCTGGCAAAGTACACATCACGCAAGCAACTAAAGACTTCCTGGATGATATATATATCTACGAGGATGGTCATGGCAGCACCCGGCATGTTGCGCTTGAGGGTATTACTACGTATTTGATTCTCGGTAAGAAACGGAAACACGAGAAGAAAGGATCAAGTCGACATCATAAATCGGAAGGCAAGCCTGATGAATCATTCAAGAAGGTGTCTATACGGATTGACAAGAACGCTGTCATGTCATCCAATGGTCCATCCAGTTCGTTATCCGTTCAAGTTCCACCTGAGAATAAGAGTCCAAGAGGTAGTTTAAAGCGTCAAAGTGAGGAAATATTGGATTCAGATATCTTGAATTCATCTTATACGTCTGAAGATGAATATGGTCTGTATAATGGTCGAAGGCCTTCCCAAGCACTTGGTGGAACAATTAACGAAGCTCTCGCTCGGTTCAGGCTTCGAACATCAAATGATCGAGAGTTGGTTGCCCTGATTAAAGATAACGAGAATTCATTTGCAAATCCACCGTTAGTGACCGGTTCACTATGGTTTCGAGACCGTAGTCTGGAGAAGTCCTATCACGAAGAAGGACAAGATACAACATTGCTGAGCCCCACTGTCACCACATTTGCATCTCCTAAGGTTAACTTTTTATTTGATGTTTTTATATCCAATCTTGTTTATGTATATGTAGTAATACTTTGCTTTGTCATGCTTGTTGATGACATTTCCATTGCAAACTACATAACACTTGCACTCACATTCTTGCTTGAGATATTCTTCTTAATTTTCAACATGAGTCGAGCATATCCACAGCACATGAAGTTCTTTGCAGCATTTTCAAAGCTGCCAGGCTGGTTGTCAAGTCATATTTCTGGCACTGTATTGATGTGCTTGCCAGTCTTAACAGTGATGTTAAACTTTACAGTTTGTGGCAAGGACATAGGTAATGATTTTGTAACATTTTCTGCAAATGTCATGATCGTCACATTTATACATTTCTGCAATTTTACACAACTCACTTCCATTCTAAAGTCAGCTCTTGTTGCATTGCTTGCTATTTTGTTTATAATAATCACAACTACAGTAAGCGATTGTGATAATGTGGAGGCAAAACTTCAACAAGATATGATACCCACCTTGATACTGCTAACAATTCTTATATTTATCCTGAACTATCGGAATGACATCGGTGTTCGCATGAACTTCCTTGTTGATGCCGAAGCTGCGAAGGATAAGAAAGAAGCAAAAATGAACAAAGCCCAAGCCGACTGGTTGTTAGAAAGCATAATTCCAAAACACGTTATTGCGGAATTACAAGAAGAGAAACTGTATTCCAGGAACTATGAAAATGTCGGCGTCATTTTTGCATCAATAGTAAATTTTGGAGACTTTTACGAAGAGAACTTTGAAGGTGGTAAGGAGTGCATTCGAGTGCTCAATGAATTGGTTGGTGACTTTGACGATTTGCTCCAGAGACTGGAGTTCTCGGAAGTGGAGAAAATTAAAACTGTGAATGGCTCAACATTCATGGCCGCATCTGGCCTCAATAATTCACAGGGGAATGGAAAGGGTAAGAATCATCTAAAACAATTGATTGAGTTTGCACTGGCAATGATGCAAGAAATAAGTAATTTTAATGATCACATGCTTGGATTCAAATTCATCTTAAGAGTTGGATTCAATGCTGGACCAGTAACTGCTGGTGTAATTGGAACAAATAAACTGTTTTATGACATTTGGGGTGACACTGTAAATATTGCAAGTCGAATGGACTCGACTGGAGTCGACGGACGTGTTCAAGTCAGCGAAGCATCGAAGAATTTACTTGAAGAGTTCTTTGCCTTTGAAGAACGTGGTGAAATTCCAGTAAAAGGAAAGGGGACAATTAAGACATTCCTTCTTGTTGGTCCTGTTGATGACAAAATAGATGTTGAGGTAAAATTTTATATAAATTTCTAACATACTTGTTTTTTTTTGTTTAGCCATTTCTTCACAGTAAAATAGAACTGTCGGCCACATAGACGCACAGAGTATACCAGAAAGGTGCAGATCTCAATCTGCAGCTTTCTGATGTATAGAGCTGTGCGGTTAACCCATCAAGCTGTGTGGGGCTTCCCCATTGACGAGTAAAATTGTCTGGCATTAGACAAGTAAAAAAAAGTAGGACGCACTGCGGCTCAATGGGTTAACCGACAAATTCGGTTCTTCCGGTACTTTTTTAGCACAGAAAAATTATATGCAAAAGAACCGGTAGTTTCGGTTTCAATTTCCTGTTTAATTAACGCCCACCAAACGCCCACCTGATTGCAAGTTGAAATGTTTGGAAAATAACAAAATTGTGCTCTTGTGCAAAATATGCCAGGGTTCGAATAAGAATATGGGTACAATTTCTTAAGAAAATTTATGAAGTTCGCTACAAAACGACCGCCATTTTGTTTTTCGCAAGCAGTGTTTCCACTTTTCAAAACTGAAATCAAGAAGAAAATTTGCGAATCGATTTAAGAGAAATGTTTTGTGTTCATAAATAAATTCCAATTGTTCTTTTAAAATATTCACATATTTATACAAATTTACAAAGGCATAAATTCATCTATTTAGTAAAAATGCTCTAAACATACATAAATGAGTTCATACATTTGTACTGTTCTTCTTTTTTGAAAATAACCGAAACCAAACCGAACTGAGGTTTTTCGGTTCCAAAAAACCCGGAACCAGGATAAAATTTTTGGAACCACACAGCTCTACTGACCAGTGTTATTGTCACTACCTATGCTGGCACAGGCATAGAGTGTAGTCTATTCATAGAACTATCTATCCAACTCAGCAAAAAATCAGTAACCGCCTAACCGGCCGCTGTGTTGCTAGCCAGTAACATGCTAATGAACACTCTCCCCCTCCTCTAAATATCTAAAACTTTAACTGTTTTCGGGACATGTGGCTATGAACATGGCAGCTGGTATGCTGATAACAAAGGCACAACAAGGAGCCAGACTTCTGTATAGCCTTCTGTGTTGAAGCCTGAAAGTGTCCAAAAGATTTCCCAACAATTTACAAAATAAAGGGGTATGGCAGTAGGGATAGGTTTCAGAGGATACTTTTGTATCTCAATCAGTTGAATTCTTTCAACCAAACATTTGCCTTTGTTTTCAATTGCATTGGTGAAAATGATATGTATGAAGTATGAACCATTTGCCTTTGTTTTCAATCTGTTAACACCTAGAAATCATAGTTTGGTGCAGTACACAGTAATAACTACTGTATACATGAACATGCAGTTAGAGCTAGAATACTTGCCTCTGTAGCTCAGTTGGTTAGAGCGCTAAAGTGCTAAACCCGACCAGAATCGCATGTTTGATTCTGCAGAGAACTTTTTATCTACTAATCTAGTATTTTTTATTTCTGTCCAGATTGTTATTTTTGGTATAATCATAAATCTCTGTAGAACCATTCTAAAAAGCTATTTAAAGAAACTTTACTACGCTATTAAATGAAAAACTTTACGCTTAAAATGTTTATAAAATCGTTAAACCTGTTGATGATCCAAAAGTATCGCAAGATCTACCTCTGGGTACGAGATTGCTAGCGCTACAAACCTGCACTATTAAAGTCACAGTACTGACTACTGTACTTACACGCCGGGTCAGCTGTTCTCACAAATCCTTCATCTAATTTAAACTTTTTCAATATATTTCGGATGGACATGAAACTTGGTACATCAATATAACTTTCCAATCCGAACAATCGTATGTTTTTTATTTTTGAGATTTAACGGTTTTTGGCGGGAAAATGACGTCACAAAACCTCCAGTTAAAATTTATTTTCAATATCTTAATAGTTTTAAGCAGAATGTGAAAGATCATGTCATGAAGAGTTCAAAACTGAAAACAGATTTTAAATATCTTAATCTAATCACGAGATACAGGGAGTTTAGAATCGAATTTTCCACCATTTTGTTACTATTTTTAGATTTTTCACGGTTTTTATGGTGAAATAACTTTGGATTAGGTGTAGATATTTAAAATCCGTTTTCATTTTTGAACTGTTCATGACATGTTCTTCCAAATTCTGCGACAAAACTATTAAGATATTGAAAGTAAATTTTTAATGGAGGTTTCGTGACGTCATTTTCCCGCCAAAAACCGTTAAATCTCAAAAATAAAAACATAGGATTGTTCGGAATGGAAAGTTATATTGATGTAGCAAGTTTCATGTCCATCCGAAATATATTGAAAAAGTTTATATTAGATGAACGATTTGTGAGAACAGCTGACCCGGTGTGTTTTGGTTCACACCAGCAATTTTGTCGGCGATTTTGTGTTTCTGACGGATACAAATGAGTAAACTCGCACAAAAGAGTATATAGAGTCGCTTTTCAGAAGTAAACAATTCTAAGTCTTTTGCATGTCATTCATTCAATCACATTTGCCAGGAGGAGAAAAATCGCTAGTGTGAACCAGGCGTTAAAGGGGCAGTGTCACGGTTCTACTTCGCATCCAAAATATGCGCGAACTCGAAAAACTGTCTGCTAACAATTAATCAAGTTAGGAGTGAAATACGATATACTTTTTATAATCCCTTTGTTATGCTAGAACATCCTTGCTTTGTTTTACAAATTGAAGGCTGCTGCATCTTTTCCAATCATGTAGCATTAATTTTAAACGTTTCTTTGCGCCGTTTATTTTAGCCAATCAGCGCCGTAACACTGCCCCTCCCATGGCCAGAAATCAAGGCCATAATTTATTCTACTTTAGTAATTTGCATATCATGTTGAAGTTAACAGTGAATAGACCCTTTCGATAATTACGTCACGTATCTTATCTTGGCCTCGGAGCCTCATTCTCATCTTTCAAGACGAACGGTGATTGGCTCACAATTCATGAGAGCGAGGCTCCCAGGCGAAAACAAGATTTGTGACGTACTTATCGAAAGGGTCTATTATAATGCGACGTTGTGAATCGTAAAATCTGAGAACAAAGTAGGTCGTTTGCAACTTGCCTCAATCGCTGGTTACAAAACAAAATCTGTCGAAGTATTTAGTGTAATGTTGGCTTGATTTCAGTTATTGCTTATTCTGCAATTTCAATATTTGTACAGAGCCATGCAGAGGTTAGTTTTTATGACATTTGTTTATTTGACCCTAATAAATTTAGGAATGTTCGGTATGAGAAATTTCCGGTATCGGTATACCGAAAAAATTATACCGATATTATTGGTATACCGGTTTTCCTTTGATAATTATAAAGGAAAATTCTTTAATGGGAATTTGAAGGAAATTTTGAGTAATTCTAAAAGGGAACACGATAATTTCGAAGTTGTTTCGAACGACACGTACTCAGTGTAAAATCTCACCGAAGTGGAAATTCTAAATCATTGCAGTAGAACGTTCTCTGAATTGCCATTCAGTAGTAAAATAAAGGTTATGGTTTCGCCATATAGTTGGTAGATTTAACACGATATACCGACGATATTGATTTAATACCGATATTTTCGGTATACCGAACAGTCCTAGACTCTATATAGAAAAACCGCACACTACTGCCACTAGGTCTAGGAATAAACTAAAATGCAGAATAGGCACTAACTTGAACCAGGCAAACATTGCCCTAAATGATTCCACAGACTTTGTTCGACATCCAGCAGTTGAGGCAAATTGCAAACGACCTACTGCATTCTCCGATTTTTCGATTTACAGCATCATCGCGTAATATAATTATTATAATATTGTACAAGGCATATTTCAACGGATTATGCGTGGATAATATGCAAATTAGTAAGGAAGTAGAATGATCATGGATGTCAATGATTTCTGGCCATGCCAGCCAAACAAGTATGAGCGTTGATAATAGTTGCAATACTCCCGCTCGCGTTTGACCGCAAACTCTAACCAATGCACTCTCTGTCTCACGTCAACTTCGAACTGGTTCAAATTTTGGTGAGAGTTGATGAGAGTTTTCGCTATAGCGCTCGGTGATATCCAATCTCAAATCATTAATAATGCATGAGTAAATTAGCGAACCATTTAACAATTATTCGCCGAAGCGGCGAATGCGAGGTGATTATCGGGGAATATTCGCCGAGACGAAGTCGAGGTGAATACTCCCCGATAATCACCGAGCCTGAGGCGAATCATTGTTTTTAGTATAATTACATAGGTGATTATTGAAAATTCTCCACGCTGATTGGTTGCCGTTGAGGTGATTATTACGCGATAATCACCTAAGCGATTTTCAAAATGGCGACCGAAGCCTTTTTGTCAATTAAATGACGAAGAAATGTGTATTTTCTTATTTTTTTTCAAATAATCACCTATGAAATTATACTAAAACAATTATTCACCTCAGACTCGGTGATTATCGTGAATAAAAACCTCGACTTCGTCTCGGTTTTTATTCACCGATAATCACTTCGGCGAATAATTAATATTTTTGTTAATTAGTATTTTTACACAAGTTTTTGTGTTTTTTTTTGAGACTGAATTTATTTTAATAGACCTTATATGCATAATGACGTCACATGAGACTTGATGCCCACAAGGAATGCTGGTCCTAGTAGTTATCGCCCGGGAAAATTTCTATAGTCGCTATTTTGAATTGTTTAATTTTCCCGGGCGATGACTACTAAGACCAGCATTCCTCGCGGGCATCAAGCCTTGTGACGTCATTATGCAAAAGGTGACCAATCAACGTGTAGGATTTGTTATGTTTACTTGTGCAAAAATACTAAATTGCTTCATTTTACTCTACTGGTGTGAAATATATTGTTGCAGTCCAGGGGCGTAGGAACCGGGGGGGGGGGCAGGGGGGCCATGGGCCCCCCAAGTTTTGGCAAGTGCCCTTTTTACAGGAGCAAAGTGCCCTTTTTGTGCCTGAAAAATTTTCATAAAATTAGCAGTTTTTGTCCCAACGAAACTTTTGAAAACTGTAATGTAGGTTTTTTCCCGAAAAATGTTTTAGTTTCTGATAAAAATCTCATATATTTGTTTTTCCGGAAAAAATTTTTAGTATTTAAGGAAAAATATGGTATGTCCGGAAAAATTTTTTACCCCTAAAATGGTACACTGACCGAATTTTTTTTGGCGACGGGGGGGGGAGGTCGCCAAAAATTTTTTTTGAGATGCCCTTTTTTTTTAAGTGCCCCTCAAAGCCTGGCCCCCCCAACTTTTCTAAGCTTCCTACGCCCCTGTTGCAGTCATAATTAATTCATGGTCAAAATTAATTCACCTCACTTTGAGAATTGAGTAGTGATTTATTCGTATATAATAGTTGAATGCTCCAAAGTATTAGTTGTTTAAATCAACTTTAATTTTATTTTTAGATAGAGGATTGAATACATGTCATTGACTAACGTGGATATCTAGTGAATCACGAATGAATTGCTTTGGAATTGCAGCTTTAAATATTACACGCTTAAGCTAACTGATCTTCGAAGAGGTAACAATGCCAATGGACGGTCAAGAAGCTTACTTATTTAGCTTTGCTATTTTAATAAAATGAAATATAATATAGCTATTTAATTATTTTACTGAATGAATTCTTGTAAACATTATAGTTCATTCAAGAATAGAACATTGTATGATATGTATACCTTTTAAATAGTGCAGTATTTGTAATGTGAATTGTACAGGACAATGTTTAGCGATAATTATGTCGCTTTTTATTAGGGCTGCTTTGTATTATACCATACCATTCAGTAATCCTTGCAGAGTTCTTTTCTTGATTATTTGCTAGATTGCTTTGGTAAAAAAAAAACAACATGTTGAGGGTTAAGCAAGTGTACGATTGTGTGGGAATGAACGGCTTGTGCTATAAAGATGTTACCTGACCAAGATTATACTGAAAAACCTAAGGCTAAGGTAAAAAAATGAAAACCGTACTATGTATTTACAAACAAATTGACGATTTATATCGATTCGCTGTAGCCAAAATCGACGTAAGCGTACTATAAAACGAACAGTTCGATATTGTTTCGATTTTTCGCAGTATTTAAATGTATTTTGTTCTTGGTCGCCATGCATGTTGGTAAAGAGAGCCTGCAAGGATCCCTATGATGATTGCGTGCAGCCCTTCAATTATGATGTCACAGGTCAATTAATAACAACCAATCAGCGCAGACCGGAATACACCACGATATTGTAAACATAAACCGATTCGTTTCAAATTCGTTACTGTAATAGTTTCGTATACAGACCGCCACTGTGGCATACTAAAAAAGTTAAAACGGCTCGAGGTTTTACAGAGTAATATATCAAGTTGTACTTTTTATTACAATCTGCATGTGTTTCTCCTGTAGGCACAGTAAGTTTAAAGTTGTATATTACCCGCTAACTAATTCAGTTATTTGGAATTGCTTCGTGCTGCAATATATAATATACACTGTATACAGTCTATATATATAGTAATAATATAACTTACTGAAATTTATGGCTTTGGTGAGACATAGACATATATGATATACCATGGACATTGGACATAATAATATGTTTATAGTTCAAATTTTGCAACAAAAAGTGGAATTGCAGTAAACATGCATGTGATAATTATTGTAAACAAAGTGACGAGTAAATTACTGTACATTTTAACGCCGCATACTTATAAATATTAAATAGTCAGTATAACATTGTAAAACAAGCTTAATACACACAATATGCACTGAATATTATCAGAATTCCCAATATTGTTTCATAAAAGAGAAGCGATATAATGCCTTGTCCCTAGGTTTCGGTTTGCGAATTTGTGCAGTCTTTCTCAAGAATTATTCTTAGCTTAGGAGTCAGACAAGCCAAGGACACAATAAAGCATGCAAGCTTTTAGTATTCGTCTTTATATGAATACTATATTAATTTACAGTAAAAAGTCAACCAGGATCAAAATACATGACACTTTTATCTCTACATTGTCGCAATTCCGAAGCTTTGCGTTGCTCGGTTTTACAAACGGGAAGTGCAAGTTTATGGAAGCTTGTCAATCACTTCATATGAATCAGTTATCAACCAATCAGAGCACTGCGTCCAAATATTGGACGCATGCACCGAATCATCAAAGGGATCCTTGCAGGCTCTCTTTCCCCAGAGAGCCTGCTCGCAGGCTAGCATGTTGGATGAGTGGATGACAAATTCAAGTCAACCAACATGGCAGCGAAAACAATCATACATTTTATACTGCAATATATAAAAGCCCAGCAAATGACTCGACCTCACTCATACAGTCATACTCAGATATAACAGAAAAGAAAGCTGTTCGTTTCTTGTAAAACTTCACAGACGTGATATCGAACCATCTACCTATAGACTATAGTACATGCATGTTTCTTGAGATTTGGGTGTAGAAATTTGTTTTGAAGATTTACATGTATTAAAAATTTTAGCGTAGCCACGTGACCGGCTACAATTTCATTAGTTTGTTTATGCATGTGAGACGGTGACGGTTATCAATACAATGACATTAATCCTATAGCTCAAAAGAAAGAAATAATTAAAAGTTCGAAATTTTACCGAAAACATCCTGTATAAGTTCTACATTTCATAACTATTGTTTAACTTTAATTAAGAGGATTAAGATCACGTGACCTCTTAGTGCAAGTCACGTATTCACTTGATCGGAACGAATCATTCTTACACCGATTTACCTCGCCCATGCATAGTTAATACTCGCCTATAGTAACCATTTGTTAAATTACTGGCGCTCCAACAATCCTCAAGGATGAAGTAAAGGAGGTATACCGGCTTATAACTTATCTCATACCTAATTAGCGGCTTTCCTATTGGCTACAAGGAGGTGAGTTCAATCTCGAACCCACCTGCTGACGTATGTTTAGGTATATAATTTCTTTATAATTTTACGCATTTTAGTATATAATTTCTTGTTTGGATAACGAACATTTTAGCCACAAACAAACAAACTTAGGCTTAAATTGAAGCTAAAACAATTCTCTACAATATTCCCTTATTCTTGACAAGAGAAAATGCACGCATTCTGCGAAAACATTGCCAAGATTTATATAAACCTGCCCGTGCCGAACACAGTTAGCACTATTTTCCATCCAGCAAACTGACCTGATGTCATTTTCGAAAGATGGAAGAGGTGTTAAATGGCTATGTAACTAATCCAAGCCCTACCCCTAGCTACTCTAACCCCTAATCCTACTCGCAACCCAAACTCTAACCCTAACCGAATTAATAACAAAAATCTAAAAGGAAAGACTTTAGAAAATCGATAGGGCGGTTTGCTGGATGGAGAATAATGCCAACCGCCGAACAAATTTCAGCGGCCATCTTTCTTCTCTAGTCCACTTGAATACAGAATTAAAATTCCATTTTCATCAAACAAAATAAAAAATAATAATTATAAAACATTTAAAAACAGTTAATTTGTATTTTATTTAAATCTTCGTCGGAAATTTGTTCAAATTGCTTCATAATGGCCGCCGCCGAAACATCGATCTCGAACCCCCCTCCTAAACTGATACGTCAGCAGGTGGGTTCGAGATTTGAACTCACCTCGTTGTAGCCAATAGGAAAGCCGCTAATACGCTAGATATGAATGATAAAAGGTCATATACTATTAACCTATTAAGGGCCTGTTAATATGAGTCCGGTTAACCGAGCTGGCCCGCTTTGCCGAGCTGGCCCGCTTTGCTTTCACATGAGATGGGCTAGCCCGGCAATCATAGTATTCATAGTAACGATTTCCCGCGATGTTTTAGCGGGAAGATAGAATTCGTGTTTATTTGGCAAAATTTTATTTTTGTCGACGGCAACAGCTTCAGGAGGTTAATTTCGAAAAATTCCTATGGTTTTGGACATTTTAGACTGTTCATCAGTGGATCGAATAAAGCAAGCAAATTTCCATCCCGCTTGCCGGGCTAGCCCGGTTGTACATTCATATGAGCCCAGCGAGCCGGGATCTCGCCTCGCTCAAGCGAGATCCCGGCAAACCGGGCTGGCCCGCTTCTCATATGAACCCAATCCTAAATTAATATACAAACAATATGTGAGGCGGGATCTCGGCACTTGAAAACCAGCCCGGGTAGCTGGGCCAGCCCGGCAGAGAAGGGCTCATATGAACAGCCCCTTAGATACTCTGGCCGGGTCGTTACACGATCTCTTCAACATTTTACAGATGCCGGTAATGAACTCCGAAACTTAACTAAGGCTCAAATATATTTTGCATAATGAACTCCAAAATAACAAGTCTCAAACATATTTAAGTATAGGTTATTTTGAGGCAACGAGGGGAATCAACCTCGTACCCAGGACCCTGGGAACGAGGTTGCGAGGGGAATGTGATTAATTCACGAGGCCGAGGTGAATAAACACATATCCCCGACTGAGGTGCCTCAAAATAACGTACTTATTTTTCACATTGGCGAGGTTGCATTTTAGGAGACATAATAGAAAGAAATTTATTATGAAAGACATTTAATAAAACGAGTCCCATGACAAACACTGATCATTTTTGTTTCAGAAAGAAAAAAGACAAAGCATGATGACTAGGGAGGAATATTTACAGGGAATTATTAATCTACCGGGTGGGGCAAAAAAAAGTATACGACTGTTTGAATTGCTGCAAAAGCAAAACTTAAAGAGAAATGACACTAAAACAAGTTTATGGGAATTCAGCGATATCCAACTTAAATTTTGATATATGCCATGCACAATTCCATGCCATATTGACAAGGATACATGCATTTGAACAGCAGGAAATTAGCTAAAAATGGCTTATTAAATATTAATATATACAACAATAACTTGTCTTAAGACGTAGTTGTGGTTCAAAATCAATCGTGTATGTTCATCAGCAAACACATGGCCCCAGCACGAATGCAAAGTCATGCGCATGCCCGTGAAATCATACAATCGAAAGAATTTTGGATCATTTGCTGTTCTAAGTTGCGGCCAGGGGCGGCCCTAACCCTCTTCGAGTGGGGGGAGGGGTGTGAGTGATCTTTTGCCGACTGTTGTTTGGTAATTTTGCCGAGTCATAAGCCTATAGTGAGGGTCCTGAAGGGGGGGGGGGGTCCCAATCCCATTTTCCACCTGAAATTTTGGCAAAATCCCAGTCCCAGTTGGATTTTTATTAGAAATCCCAGTCCGAGTTATTGAAATCCCAGTCAATAAAAAACCCTTTATTTATCGGTAGAATAAACAGTTTTAAGACCTTTTAAGCCACCGTGTGTGCAAGTGGCGGACATTTTATGAAATGTTGGGGGGGAGGCTCGTGCCGAAGGCACGGAAAATTTTTAAATTTGAATCCCGGAAATGGCATTTGCATCATTCTGAGACACGCATAATCAGAAAACCCAAAATTCCTGTCGGCATCCATTTTGCAGCCCTCGAAAAGTCAAAATCTCGGCATTTCTTAAAATCTGTTCCACGTCTTGGAGCACTATTAATCACGCATTTACGAATCATTGAAATCGGAATATAACTGGAACGTTACCTCCAGCCGGAAAATTCGAAAGTTGGAGCCAAATGTTAACTCCAGACGCGCGAAATTTGTTCTTCAAACATCTAACGTATATACACAATACACAATACCCGTCAGTTTTTAAACCTTACACTGTAGTGTGTTCAGTTAATCTAACTACGAATCGAATTCTATAATCGCTGACATTTTAGAACCTATCAGCATAAAAATTCTTACCATAGGCGTACCCGGCGGGGGGGGGGGGCGGGAGGGGGCGGTAGCCCCCCAGTTTTTTAGACAGTCGGGCAATATTCGATAAACAGTCGGGCAATTTTGGTTTGTAATAAAAATAAATGGGACAAATTCTGTCAATTTAGTCGAAAATTCAGTCAATTTTGTGTTGTTTGGAAAAGTTGTGTGATTTTCCGAAAAATTTTGGTATGTCCGGAAAAATTTTTTGACCCCTAAAATGGTGCACTGACCGAAAACTTTTTGGCCACGGGGGGGAGGGGGAAAAATTTTTTAGGTACTAGTCGGGCACAATCACGAAAAGTCGGGCAAATTTCTGTCCGCCCCCCTAATTTTTTCCTTCCGGTACGCCCATGATTCTTACTTTGGTTGAATTAAGGTGGGCAAAAATTTGCATTTAGCAATTTGCATTGCTGAATGCCGACCTCGTTTTCGAGGACTGATTTTGCCACGTCTTGCTGACGTAATAAGTGATACCGACAAAGGAAAAAGGTCGCTTCGTGCGAGAAAATTCGCTAGTGGAAAACCGACTTTATTGCCTCTTTTATAGAACAGTATAATAAGCAACCACCACCAAACAAATTTAATTACCTAATTATGATTTCAATAATATTATGTTTTTGGACTAGCTGCCAGAAGTGAAGATACTGTATTCGAAAAAAATTGCATTGCTGCATGTGTGGTTTCTTTGATGCATGCTATTCGTGATATTCGGTTTGAATTCAATTATTCAGGAGGTCAATTTTGGTTTCTTCAGTGGTTATCTTAAGCCAATCCAGTTTTGCCGACTGAGATAACAATTTGCCGATTAGCTGACGAGTGGGGGGTGTTCCACCCCCACACACCCCTGTAGCGCCGCCCCTGGTTGCGGCGTGTAGGTTGCTGATCATGTGGCACACTCAGCAGGGGCGTAGGAAGCTTCGAAAAGTTGGGGGGGGGCAGGCTTTGAGGGGCACTTTTCGAAAAAAAAGGGCAACTAGAAATTTTTTTGGCGACCTCCCCCCTCGTCGCCAAAAAATTTTCGGTCAGCGTACCATTTTAGGGGTAAAAAAATTTTCCGGACATACCACGTTTCTTTCTAAATACGAAAAAATTTTTCCGGACATAACAATATATGATATTTTTCCCGGAAACTAAAACATTTTTCCCGAAATAACATAGATTGAAGTTTTCAAAAAATTCAATTTTAATGAAAATTTTTCACGCAAAAAAAGGGCACTTTGCTCCTAGAAAAAGGGCACTTGCCAAAACTTGAGAGGGGGGGGGGGAGGCTGCTCCCCCTGCTCCCCCGGTTCCTACGCCCCTGACACTCAGCAGATTTTATGTTTCAAATAGCCCCCCCCCAAAAAAAATATCGCATACTTTTAGATCGGGGGAGCTAAGTGCATGGCCAAGGCCAGTCGTCACGTTCACTCATAACTCGTTCATTCTTTGGCCTCTTCGGTGCTCTGCAGCTTAATGGGTTAACCAATAAAAATCTGACAATGTCTCTCTAGTTAACCCATTGCACCCCAGTGCTTATTTTTTTACTTGTTTAACGCCAGGTGATTTTACTCGTCAACAGGAAACTCTGCAGCTTAATGGGTTAAATAGGCATGCATATTAATTGTTGAAAGCACAAGTGAATGAATGATCTGGTGCCTTTTACAACAAGTTTAAAGAGCTCATTTGTATATAGTACTGTACATTTATTATATTGTCGGTG